TGTGGGACAGTATCAAATGCTTTGGATAAGTCCAGGTAGACAATGTCAGTTGCTCTTCTCCTATCCATCAATGCTGTGACCTCATCATAGAAGGCCACCAAATTAGTCAGGCAGGATTTGCCCTTAGTGAAGCCATGTTGGCTGTCACCAGTCACCTCCTTATTTTCTATGTGCCTTAGCATAGTCACCAGGAGGATCTGCTCCATGATCTTGCCAGGCACAGAGGTGAGACTGACTCATCTGTAGTTCCCTGGGTCTTCTTTTTTTCCCTTTTTAAAAATGGGGCCTATGTTTCCCCTTTTCCAGTCATTGGGAAGATTTAGATTAGATAAAAGGAAGAAATTCTTCACTCCAAGGGTGGTGAGGCACTGGAACAGGCTGCCCAGAGAAGTTGCGGATGCCCCATCCCTGGCAGTGTTCAAGGCCAGGTTGGATGAGGCTTTGAGTAACCTCATATAGTGGAAAGTGTCCCTGCCTGTGGCAGCGGGGGTGGAACTAGATAATCTTTGAGGTCCCTTCTGACCCAAACCATTCTATAGTTCTATGATTCTATCCTGTGCTGCCCACAGAACTGACACACATCGTTTGTCACAGCAGAGAAACACAAGGTCCCCACCACCGTGTCCCCACAGGCATGGGAGATGAGAGCAGAACAACGGGCCTTTCTCCTCTGACGCTGGAAAGCCGCCATGAAGCGTCTGGGTCTGTTGTGTAAAAGCATGGAGACAAGGGGAGCTGCAGGCCCCCTGCTTCTCCGCAAAGAAAACATGGGGTGCCTCAGGTCAGGCATCCAAAAACAGGGACACGTGGAAACGAGGCTCCTCTGCCAAGCTGGCTTGTCCCAGGCTGTGGAGGATGCAAGCCCCAGAGGTGGTAGGAGATCGCCCTGCAGCCCTGCAGACCCATGCTCGGCATAGGTGAGGGACAGTGCTGGCTGTCCTCCACACCACCTCCTTGCCCTTTGATTTCCTACCCTCTCCAGCTGGCATGAGGAGCCCCTTCTTGCTGCTCAGCTCTGTTTAAAAGGCCAGAACAGAGGCACATGCAGCATTTTTCACAGGTAAATGGCTTTGGGTACAAAACCAGGAAGGACTTTAATGAGGGCAACCAAGTTTAGCTCCTGCTCTGATGCTGGCTTCTGCTGCAAGCCTGAGGGCATCCCTCTCCCTGAGCTCACAGGGCACTTGCTCCCATCCATATGGCAGTGCCCTGTCCAGGGCATCCTGTCCGGTAGTGAATCCTCTGCCCCGAGATGGACACACAGGCTCCATTCCTGGCTCCTCAGGCTCTGAGGAGGCTTGGTTTGGGACTCCCAAGCCAATGGGAACACCTCAAACAGCCAGGGAGGAGAAGAGCGCAGCATCAGGATGTACAGGTTTGAACAACGGGTGATCAGTGCCTCTCCTGCAGCAGGGACTGTCCCCTGCAGGTACCTGTCCACTTACCCCCTTCCTAAGAGAGATGGGGTTATAATTTATGAAGGAGGAGAGCGTGAAACTTCAGGATTGCTGGTGGCCCGCTAGATTGCCAGGAGAAGCAGGGGGGCCCTCTTGAAACCAAGAGGAGCAGAGACCTGGTGGGGAGAGGCACGTCCCAGCTCCATTCTTCTGGGCTCTGAGCAAGACCTAAACATACATGTGCCCTAAGTCACAGGCTTTGTTTTGGGAGGAGCGTGTCACCTGGGTTGATGCTGGGACAAGCAGCAGGGCTGCTCGAGGGATGGGGAAGGTGCTGCCTCCGTGCACCCCCCAAAAGGCAGTACAGTCCTCGGGTCAATTCTGCCCAGCTTAAGAGCAAGGGCTGAGAAGTTTGTTAACCCTTGGTGTCTGTGAGTGTCCATGTGCACACGTATGCACGCTCTCTGGGAAAGCTCCCTTCACTTCCAGATGTTTGCCCATCTGCCTTGGTGCCCTTCCAGATGTTGGCAACCTGTGCCTCACACTCGTGGCGAGGGGCAACAGGCTGGAGTTGTGCCCCAAGCATGTCGACGAGTTCATGGTACCTCCACAGCAAGATCCTCCATCAGTGTGCAGGGCCCTTCAGGGTCTGCGACGCGGCCGGCTGGGACCCCTGGGCTGTGTGGTGCGCAGGGTGCTGGGAGCCCCCCGGTCCCTGAAGGGCTAAGGGGCGTCGGAGCGGTGGTTGTAGAAGAGCCAGCGGATGTCCACGCAGGAGCCTAGGGGAGAGCTCGGTGCCAGTCTCTGAGGACATTGTCTCCCGTTGGGACACGGAACACGCTGATGCTCTCTGCAAGGCACGACCCCAAATCTCGTCCAACAGATGCGTCTCTTGGGACCTCCCACCTCAGCGTTCCCTCTGCCACAGCCTGCTGGTTCATGCTCCTGCCCTGCCGCAGGTGGGGGGACCTGGCCGGATGCCACCCCAGCCGTGCTGATGTCACTCCAGCCTGTTGTCATAGGAACAGCATCTGCCACCGTCCTAGCCACGTGCGGGAGAGGCACACCAAGGCAGAGCTGGAGCCTGGCTGCTGTTTGGGGGAGGGCTCCCCGCTCACATCCAGCCCTCTCCCCTCATCCTGCCTGTCCAGTGGCTGGGGGGGGCCCCCTGCCAGCTCCCACCAGCATTGCCTGATGCCCTCCTTTCTGCTGGCAGGTGGCATGATCAGCTTTGACGTCTTCCCGGAGGGCTGGGACAAGCGCTACTGCCTCAACGTGCTCGATGACGAGAGATTTGACACCATCCACTTCTTTGGGAACGAAACGACCCCTGTGAGTACGCCCCGCTCACCTCACACATGTCCGCTTTCCCTCCTTCAGCCTGGCAAGCCTGCGTGGACCTGCGCCATCATGGGTCCCACGGCCTGGGTCCCGCTGGTGGCCGACACAGACCTCCAGCAGCGCGAGGGGAGAGATGCTCCCACATGGTGCATGCGTGTGGTGGGCTCGTAATGGCAGCAAGCCCAGTGGGTCGTGGGGAAATCACCCTGGCTCCAGCATGGCTGGGGAGCAGGTCCACCTCAGCATCACCCTACTCCCCCCGGCACCCTCAGGAGGGGGGCAGCCCTTCCTGCAGCCCATGGGACCCAAAACACAAGCCCCCAGGGTGTAGGAGAGGACTCTTCAACAGCAGGAACAGCTTCACCTTACCTTTAGAGTGGTGGGGGATGATGCTTCCTTGCTGCTGTAGACCAGCTCGGCCATCCGCTCAGCCATCCCCTCGGCTCATTCCAGATGACGGCAACCTCTGCCCCCCAAAGATGCACACCCCACCTTCTGCTCACGTTAACCCTCGGCTTTTGGACAAGCTGTGCTGGTCTGGGACCTTCCCTGTCCTTTCTGTGCCCCTCCCCTGTCACTGAAGAGGGGAGACGAGAGGGAGGGAGCAGGGCTTCCTTCCCAGCAGGTCCCAGCTTGCCCGGCAGCTGGCTCCCACCCCAGCTCCTCACAGGACAGAGCAAGATGCGGATTCATGGATGAGGAGGATGCCGTGTGGAGACCCTGCTAACATTTTCCCTGTTTTTCTATTCCCCTGCAGGGAGGGAACGATTATGAAATCTACGACGATCCCCGCACAGTGGGACACAGTGTCCAGTCCCCCCAGGACACGGTCCAGCGATGCCGTGAAATCTTCTTTCCAGAGAGAGCAAATGAGTGCTGACTGCCAGGTCCCTCCCAGCGCTGCCCCGGCCCCACTCTCTCCCCCTGCCAGGAAAAGCACCTTTGTTTGAGGAATCTGCTCAGGGTAGAACGGGAAAAAAAAAACAAAAAACACCACTTTCCAGAGCCAGTTGGGACGTAATGCGTGAGTGCGGGTGGTTGTGCAGGAGGGGACCTTCGCTGAGCCAATGGCCCTTTGGCATTCCCCGTCTATGGCCGGGGCTTGTGGGACCAGACCCTCCTCACCTCCAGCGAAACTTTTCTTTTGACGGTTTGGGCTGTGGTGGGCAGCGATGCAGATGCTTCCATGGTTGGAAAGCATTTGAAAGGGCTGGTCGTGAGAGTGTGTGTGTGTCCTTCCCGTGCACCCCACCTCTTCTTTTTCACTCTCTTTCTCTGAATGCTCTTCTGCATGAGGGAACATGCATCTCACCTTTCCCTCCCCCTTGCACCTTGGCCAGGGAGGCCGGGGCGGCCGAGGCCCCAGGTACTCTCTCACCAGAGCTGCTCCGAAGCGAGAGGCCAGGAATGCTGCCAAGCCCGTGGTAGGAAGGGGTAGCCGCGACCCTGGCTCGTCACAGCGTTGTGCATCCTAATGGAGAGGATCACCGTGTCCTTCACCTGGGTGCCACACTGTGCCCGTCCCAACAGGCGACCTGGGAATGACAGTTTTAAAATGACTCTGCTCCTGCTCTGAGCTTTGCTCAGGTGCATGAAAAAACTAATTCTCTCTTTAACTTATAAAAAAAAAAAAGGCTACTGTGGGTTTATTTTCCATGTTGTCCAGAAGTTGTCAAGTCAGACCTTCTCTGATGCAGCTGGAGGACTCCGGGTGCCTGGCATGTGTCAAGCGCCCTGCGGAGCTCTTGGGGACAGAAGGCATTCCAACAGTCTTCCCACCCACTAGTCCATTAGGTGTGACAGGCGTGTCAATGTAAAACCTTACCTGGGGCATTCATAACAGACTGGGTCCCCTTCTTGCCCAGTGCTCGGCTTTCCATCATGCTGCCAGAGACATTTTCAGAGAGGGACAACACATGCCAGACCTGGTTCCTAGTGCCAGTGGAGGTACATGCTCAACAGTACCCTCCAAGCTTGCTTCTCCACCCCTTCTTGTCTCATACACTCAATTTACCTGGTCACCTTTAGGGAGGCCGGTTCTCCAGTGCACCTATCTTGTGTCCTCCTGCTCCTCTCTTTTCCTGGGTCTTCGTGGGTTGCAAAACCACATCTCTCCTTTGGTCCTTGACCTCCTCCCTCACATTCCCCCTTTATTCCTGGATGTTACATTGAGGTGTGTGTCTGCACCAGTGACACTAGTCACAACTCGGTGCTCAAGAGGAGCTCAGGGAGCCCCTCCAGGGAGATGTCATGCTTAAAGCTCCCGAGGGCATGTGTGTCTGATGTTTGTGGACCTGGAAAATGCTGGAGGTTCCTGCAAAAGCTCCCTGTGTTGCTCCCTGGGAGGCTTTCTCAGCACGTCCCTGCTGGTATGGCATCACCCCACCTCTTGGTCTTGTTTTCTCTCCACTTTTTCTCCTGTTCCTGCTTTCCTCGCCGTTGCTCTTCATCTCCTACCTAGCAGCTGAACTGCAGAGAGAAGTTTCTCAGCTGGCTACCACCAGTTAACCAAGGGACTGTGTTCCTCAGGTGAGATATGTTGTTGCTCTTAGACCCAGGGCAGGGCTCCCACATGGCCACGAGCAGAGTCCCAAGCGGACCTTGGCCCTGCTGCCTGGCCACAGAAGCAGGGGTGCTGCATGACCAGCGCTGGCAGGGTGCTGTCTCCCCCACCCGACTGCACCTCTTGACTCTACAAGACATCATGTCTGTAACGTGTGACTTTTGCATGAGCGCAGCTGTCTGCCCAGCATCCGGAAATCCCCAACAAATGCACAAATTCCTCCTTCTCCCCAGAGAAAATTTCTGCATGGGAAGAGGACCTGTTGGGGAAGCCTGGATGCAGGCTACCCTGTTCACAGGCCACTGGTTTTGGCCCTCCACTGCAACCTCCATGGAGGCATCATGTGTTTTGTGGTTCCTCCTTCTGTTTCACCGTGGATCAGGTTATGTGTGGGATTGTGGGGTTTATTTTTCCTGTAAGTCTGTTCAACGCCAGCAGGATCTCTAGAGAGCTTGGTGGTGAGTGAGGAGCAGGGCCTGGTCCTGAAGGCATGAGGCACCATAGTGGCCTTGGAGGCTGAGGTGCCTTGTGTATTGGAAGGGAAGGGCAGGCTCTGTCCAAGGCTGCTCCTGATGGCGGCACGTCCCTTGCTCAGGGTGGAAGGAGCTGCAGGGTGAGCGGGGCAGAGGCAGGGATGACCTTCAAGGCACCAGCCATCGCTTTCTCTGCTCAGGAGCTCACATGTACGTGGGTGAGACAAAGGTCAGGAACCTTCCCCATTCCTGTCTGTCTTATGCCAAGCTGGGGCTATTTGAGGGCACCTCCCTTCAGGAGACCCTATCCTGATGGATGGAGAAGCAGGAGGAAGATGGCATCAGGAGTAGTTGGGGCAGCCGCAGGGTCTCAGAGCTGCAGACCAGTTGAGGTTCAAAGGACCTCTGGAGGTCGTCTGGTCCCACCCCACTGCTCAAGCAGGGCCACCGAAAGCCCGGCTGCCTGTTCTGCATGTTTGTGGACAGGGATGAGGCAGAGTGCTGGGGTGGGAGCCCTGTGCCTGAGGGACAGTGCACACCTCTCCCCGAGACCCCGTTGCCACAATGCTCCTCTCCCAATGGGTGCCCACGGCGTGAGTGGGGGTTTCTCCCTGCAGGCACATAAGCAAGCGGATGTCACAGACCCTGTGTTAGGGACCGTCATGCCATATCTGTGCGAGACGGGCAGCTCCTGAATGGCTGATACCAACTGTTAAATAAGAAATATATTTAAATACATATATATGTCTATTTAAAAAAAAATAAAATAGCTATTAAAGCTGCGACACGCAGCGGTTGGAGGTGGCGTGTGCTTTGCGCCGGGCTCTGCTGGGGTGAAACGCAGCCAGATGGCAGGCAGCTGCACTTCCAAATCCCCGCAGCAGCGGGGAACCCGTCCTGGTCCCTGTCACCCCTCCTGGAGGGCAGCAGTCTCCCATCCTAGGCTCAGCACCTGCTCCCTCCGAGTAAGGCTGGAGCACCCTGGGACCCCCCGGGACACACTGTGCAGAGGTGGGTGAGTCCGTCCTGCCATCTGGATACATCCCTGGGTGCTCCGGGTCCTTTATCTGGGAGAGCCACCAGCATCCCCACTGTGATGCACGCAGGACAAAGAGGTGAGACGGGCAGGGCTCATGGGAAAGTCACTTTTAATGGTTTATTGCCAATGTTACAAAGGTTGACACATGGTCAGACAGGCGGGAACCACACCGGAGTTGTAAAAACACCAACGAGTCTAGGGGTTTAGTTTATTTCCAAAAAAAGAGAAACAAAAAAAAAGAATCAAACAAAGTTTGCCCTGGCCAAGCAGACTGCATGTCCCGGAGATGCCCAGGGCCTGAGCTGGCATCGCCGTGGCCCCTGAGTGAGCCAGGCTTCGTCAGGTTGGCAGTGAGATGAGCTGCAGGGTCCTGGGGCAGTCATGACACCAGCTGGGCTGGGGCAGCACGTGGTGGTCCTCCCGAATCTGCAGGGCCCCAGCTGTCCCATGTGGCACTAGCCTTGCCCCCCTTTCCTCCCTGCTTATGGCAGACCCTTGTCCCCACCACAATGGCGGCAGCAAAAAAATCGAAAATCAGCAGGTGCTGGGGAGCCAGCTGTCACCTCCTGCCCTGCTTGGGGGTGCTGCTGGCACCCCGCTATCCCAACTCTGCTTCAAAATAAACCTCTCAAGATACTGATAGTCCCCGAAGCATCAGTGCAGGTGCCGTTCCCCTGGGGTGAGCTCAGGCCCACCAGGGTGCACATTGTCCCCGTCCTGCCCATCCTTCCTAGGACCATGGGAGCCTGCCTGGCCAGGGTATGGCAGAGAAGACCAAAAAACGAAGTTTGTGCTTTATATACGAGACCCTGCCTACACCGAGGGGCTGGGGCTGAGGCTACCCAAACCCCTCAGCTCCTCACCCCATGGCAAGCTACGGACGTACACACACACACACACACACGCACCCCACACACACAAACGCATGTGCGTGCGGGAACAGGGATCCCCAGGGGGCTGGGAGGACAAAGGGAGGAGGAGGAGAAGGCAGCCATCTCCCCAAAACCATGTCAGCACCGAGCCAAGAAAAGTGCATTACCGGCCTGGCAGTGACGGCGGGGAGCACAGAGGTGTCAAGCGCACCCCTGCCCCATGCCCAGGCACAGCCCCCC